ATAAATATTGATGAAGATTAAGAATTTTGCGTTTTATTTAAAATTTCCGGAAACTTTTCGGTCACAATGTATTATAGACTTACACAGTAATTGTGTTTTCGGTTGGTAGACTGTGAGTAATGTCAAGTAATGTTATTATTCAGTATTTACAAAATATTTTAAAAATGAATAGCACCACTATATTACACATCTATTAATAAAGAATGAGATAATGTTTACTCAGCTTTGCTACAAGTACAAGATCTATAAAGTACATATATGTACAATAACATATATTGTATTTCTCGTATGACAGTTGATCAAAGAGTTTACTAACAACTAATTATTTCCAAAGATTCTGTTTTACATTTTCTATTAAATTTATTGATATGAAAATGATTAAAGAAAAAAAATTGTTTATTGATTATTTAATAGTACGAATAATGTTCAATTAAATAAATCTTATAATCACTTACAATCACTGTTCAACGCACTATTAAGCAAATGGATTTCTGTAGTACTGCGTATGATTGAACAAAAGTCGCTGATTATTGTAGCCTATATATTAGAACTGCAGTAATAATTGTAAGTTACTGATGTCAGAAACTATAGCTTAATGTTGCTTACATTGATTGAACTGTTAATTCAAGTATTTGAATAGTACTCCTCACAATATGTCATTAGAAGTTGTAAGCTGTCGTACGTTTGTATTAAAGGGTTGCTTATCTTTTATGTATTATTATTTATTATATTATTATTAACAGAGTCAACTGCTGTTATTATGCTTACAATACAAATTTGTCCATTTTTTCTGCAAACGTCCTTGGTCGAGTCATCAATCGAGTCTTGTATATGTACTGATACCTTGCTTATACACGCTTTCAATAAAAAATCTATTCATATATATTATTAAAATTTAAGAATCAATATTAATGATAAAAATTTTCAAATACACCAAATATTATTTAGAATATTCCTTACGAACAGTTTTCATGTGTAAAAATAGACATATCGCACTTACAGCATTTTAAGGTACATCCACACCAACGATTACCTGCGAATGTTCACTCGTTCGCAAGTGATTGCTTTAGTGTGAATGCACCTTAACGTAGGTGATTGATGAATTAATAAAAATGATATGCTTTTGATAATAGATAAGAAGTTAAAATGTTTTATTTTTTATTTTATGATTTATCCTTTAATATTTATTAATTAACCATATAACTATTTGTGTGCACTTTTTACAAACACAAATGAATTTTTGTCATGATTGAGCTTGATATTATATTAATAAGATTTTTCCGAATACAGCAATTTTAGGTTCCAGCACTTTAAATTTTACTTATAAAATCAGTATGATTTTTCCTATGATATATTAACATAAATATTACTAATATAATATTTATTTTATATCAAAAGAATGCATTTATATTAAATACATAATATATCATAGTTGATGTACCCTGTAAGAGAAGCAAAAATCATATGTTCAGAAAACATCAAATATAAATATTGTACACATCCCGCCAAAACGTCTTTGTGATAAATAATATTTATTCTATTTAATGGCTTTTATTAAATATTAAAAAAATTAATGAACATTGAACAATGCCGGAGTACATGATTGGTGGTGTTTCTGTCAATTTTCCGTTTGAGCCGTACGATGTGCAGAAAGCTTATATGGAGAAAGTTATTATTTGTTTAAAGGATGGCACAAACGGTGTTTTGGAGTCTCCGACGGGTACAGGAAAAACGTTAAGTTTGCTGTGCTCAAGCCTGGCATGGATATTATCACGAAAAAATGATTTAAAGCATGAATTAATAAAGCAATGTAAAGAACCAAATTTTAAAAATGTGAATAATGAAATAGCTGTGTCCTTTATGGGTGGCAGTTCGAATGCTTCCAAAAAAGGTAACTGGGGCGTCCCAAAGATTATATATGCTTCACGCACACACTCGCAGTTGACACAGGCAATGCAGGAGTTAAAACGCACTGCTTATTCATTTATGCGGGCCGTAGTACTTGGTTCGAGGGATCAGCTCTGCATACACCCAGAGGTAATGAGAGAGCAAGGGAATTCAAATAAAGTACAAATGTGTAAGTTACGCGTACAAACTAAAACATGTTCATTTCATACACGAGTAGACTCGAAAAAGGATCATCCGGATTTGCGTGGTCCCACCATTATGGACATAGAAGATTTAGTAAAAGTTGGGCAAAAGCTTAAAATTTGTCCCTACTACGCATCGAAAGAGTTAGTAGATGATGCGGACATAACATTCATGCCATATAATTATTTGTTAGACCCTAAAGCAAGAAAAGCAAATAAAATTGAACTAAAGAATACAATAATCATATTGGATGAAGCACATAACATTGAAAAGATCTGCGAGGAGTCTGCTTCAGTGCAAATACGTTCATCCGATATTGCACAATCAATTGATGACGTTACTCATATAATGAAAGCGTTTAGTAACGGAGATGGACAGGACATGGAAGATGAAACTAAAGATTTTACTATTGAAGATTTAGCATTGCTTAAGGAAATGTTGCTAGGTCTTGAACAAGCTGTCGACGATATCACTGTAGACAATAGAGTAGATGGACAAACATATCCAGCTTCTTATATTTTTGAAGTACTTGCCAAAGCAAATGTAAGTATTAAAAAAGATATTTAAATACTTTATCTTATGGATAATTATTTTTTAGTTTGGTCAGAGCACGGCTGGCACAGTTGCTGCTTTATTAGAAAAGCTTATACAATTCCTAGCAGTTGAAACAACTAACTCTGTATTTCGCAAGGGTGGTAGTTTTCAGATACTATCAGATCTGCTTAACGTTGTTTTTATGCACAAGGAGGAAAATATGGAAAAACTACTCCGGAGTTTTAAATTGCATGTACAAATTGAAGAGACAAAACAACAAACAGCACGTGGAGGAACCAATAAAGATGGGTGGCTTTCGAAAGTAGGTGCTGCCAAATCTTCATCGAAAGCGAAAGTAATAAACTTTTGGTGCTTTAATCCGGGATTTGGGTAAGATATTTCTATCAATTAAAATACAGTTTGTTAACCTGTAGTAATAAAATAGAATGGAGGAGCTTTTAAACAAAAATGTTAGAAGTATTATACTTACAAGTGGTACGTTAGCACCTTTGAAGCCACTCATTGCTGAACTTGCTGTTCCAGTTGCGCAACACTTAGAAAACCCACACATAGTAAACAAATCACAGGTTTATGTAAAAATTATTGGTACTGGTCCTGATCGAGAGCAGTTGATATCTAATTTTGCGAATCGGTGAGTTTTATGTTCGATATGAATTACGAATATATTTCATATTTTTAATATTTCAGTAATAACCCAAAATATATAAGCTCCTTGGGGCAAACCATATTAAATGTGTCGAGAATTGTACCTGATGGATTATTAGTATTTTTCCCTTCATATCCATTATTAAATCAATGTGTTGACTCTTGGCAAGCTAGTGGTTTATGGTCAGACCTAAGTCGACATAAACCAATTTTTGTTGAACCACGAACCAAAGAAAGTTTCACAACTACAATGGAAGAATTTTATCAAGCTATACGCGACTCAAAAGGAGCATGTTTTATGGCTGTTTGTCGAGGTAAAGTATCTGAAGGTCTGGATTTTGCGGATCGTAATGGACGTGCTGTTATTATCACCGGTTTACCATATCCTCCGTTTAAAGATCCAAAAGTTATTTTGAAAAGACGTTATTTGGAGGATAATCGAACAAAAGAAAATGAAGTAAAAATAAAATTTAAAGAACATAATTCTTAAAATGATATTCAAATTTTGCAGCTGTTAAGTGGTCAAGAATGGTATGGCTTGGATGCAACGAGGGCTGTGAACCAAGCAATTGGACGTGTTATAAGACATCGACACGATTATGGTGCTATATTATTATGTGATATGCGGTTTCAACAACAATCTCAAGTTCAACAACTTTCGAAGTGGATACGTGGGCACTTGGGACCGTCGCCAAAAAGTTCAAATTTTGGTCCCATATTGCGCGAGTTGAGAGAATTTTATAAAAATGCAGATAAAAATGTATTGTGCAAACAAAATTTGAAGAAATATATATATTGCTTATGTATTAAATTTTAGACACCAAAACCTGTAGAGCGCAGTGTGGAAAATTTAGTGAAAGAATCGCTTGAAGATGAAGAGATAGTACGGAGTAAATATTTTTCAGATCCCACACAAAGTATGGAATCTAAACAAAAATATCACACGGCACAAAACAATGCAATGTACGTAAATTTTTTGACTGTATATAATAATAATAAAAAATTGAAACAATAACAGATAATATAAGAAAATATTTGAAACAATTTCAGAAAACTTGAGAGCACCAATTCCATACAAAGTTGGTCGCCTGCTGATTATGCTGCAGCAGCGGGACGGACTAGCAGCAGTCAAGCACCAACAGCCATGGATTTTATAAGTCGTTTAGATACAAACGTTAAGGTAAAGGTGAAGTTACCAGTAGGAAGATAATATTAGTTAAAAATAATATGCAAATTTGAAAGTAATTATATGCAGATATTAATCTATAGTTTAAAACTGACTATTGGATATAGTAATAGATATAAGATATTTTCACATAATTGATACAGCCCTGTGATTTCTGTATATAAAGCATAGTTACTATTTCTATTATTTTTTAAGTTTAAAATCGATCATTTCTTTATAATAGTACTCTTTTGCAGACAATTGATTTTAATAGTAGTTCCGATGCTGGACTAGTTAAAATTCATAAACGCGAAAGAAGCTCACCGTCGACTTTGAATAACAATTTAAATATTTCTGAAATGAATAAAAAAAAACGTTACAAATTAGTCGAAAATTCTAGTATTACGACGTCGCCATCACTATTTTCTTCCTCCTCTTCGAGTTCGTGTGCTTCAGAATCGTCTTCTTTAGATAATAATAAAGAAGCGCCGGAAAATCGTGTTGAGTTTTTAAGAGTGGTGAGTGAAAAAGATAATATATTGTATTGTACGGTTTGTTTGTAGTTTCAATACATTGTATTGTATTGTATTGTATTGTAATATCAATACATTGTATATCTCATACTTTGTCTTGCTCCTTAGTTACAAAAGAAAAAACAAGGAAAATATGGTTTTATATTAAATAATTTCCTACTTGAATTGAGTTTGTAATCTAAATTCTAATAACTTTCAGCTTCGCAGCTCACTTTCTCCGGAAAATTTTGCTGCATTTACTGCCGCCCTTATCTCTTATAAACGTGATAACACATTCGATGCTTTAATGACATTGCTAATGGATATATTAGGAAAACCCCACTTGCTGTATATGCTGCGAGGAATGCGACGTTTTTTGAAAAATGAACATAAATCTCAGTTCGATGATCGATTGTCGTGTATATCATAGTTGTTGTAATATTTTATATTGTATAAAGTTTTTAATGCACTTACAGTTATTTTTTTTTTATTATATATAGCGCGATACTAGTGCTAGGTGCTGTTTGCAACACCTAAAATAGACTACTTTTGAATGTAAATAAATAAAATTAAATTAAAAATTTTTAAAAATTAAAAAATTATTTCATTTCTCTTGCATTCAATAATATTCCATAAAAATAACATCAAAATTTGTTGAATAAGGACTCCCTACACAAAATCTCATTTATATATATGTCTTACTTACTTATGTGGCCATAACAACCCGTTACCGAGTTTCGGCCTGACGCAGCATGTCTCCCCAGGCGCCTCTGC